TTCAAATTTGGTGTGAAACAGACAAATTTCGAAGTTAATTTGAATTAATTCTCTCATTTCCCATTGGGAATTGTTTATGGCTTTATTTCTATATTTCCTCCTCAAATTATTTTTAATAATTTTGATCTGGTCTCGGTACAACTGTATCCTTACTAATCTAATGGTTACTTAACCCCTATGCATTTGCTCAATTTGAATTGTGTTTAAATCAGTTTGAATGCAATTTAAATCAAGCTCTCTGTCAGCCCGGTGAAACACTAGCAGGAAGTGGCCCAAAACCCTTAGTGGCCAAAACCCGCCACTACAGCTCGCTTCCTCCTGTGTTCTTCATTGCTGCACTCTATCCCTTTCCTGAATGGAGGCTAGGTTATTCTGATAAGTAACATTGTCATAATTTCCTTTTTGTTTATACCATAATTTTAGTAAAGCTGTTGCCTTTGATTTTTCTACAAAAAACACTCAATTTGATTTAGATAAAGGAGCTTTAATTCACATTGAAGTACACTTGTTCTTCATTCTGTTTTGTGTTTGCAAGTAGAAATCTCTCTCGTGCTGTGATGATTTGACAGTCATCTCTGCCTGGGGTCCAGCGAGCTGGTTCGTCTGATCTGCGTCACCATCACTGACTGAGCGCGAGTCTCGGACTTTTCTGTATCTTCTGTTGGTGCGGCCCGCAACACGATATCACCAATCTGGCACCGCCGGTTGTGTTCAAGGTCAAGTTGCTTGAGAGGGCGCACCTCGGTACAGATGCACCGAAAGGCCCGGGACACTGCTGTCATGTGTGGGGCGACAGAAGGACCAACCACGATGCTGACTCCGGCCAGAATGACCTCATTTCACCCCAGGCAAACTAGAAAAGGTATTAAAACCCATCCACTTACTATTTGCCACAGAATCTAGAGATTCCCCTGGTAATTTGAAGTGGTTGGCTTCCTCCTCTCCGAGCCACAAACCGGCTCCAAACAGGCTTAGGCCTTCTCTTCTTCCCCTTTCTAACACTGCTGGTGTACTACTACTAATGCCATTTCAGTACAGACCTCCCCATCTCTGATGGTTGCATGTTACTTCAAACTTTGCTAGATTGCCATTGCTCTGTTCTGTTGTGCTCTGTTCCTTTCAGTTCACCTAGAGACAGAACCTCTCTGACACACCAAGGAAAGCTGAAGAATAGTTTGACAACCAAGTCGTTAGCACCAACAGGTGACCCCTAAGCTAGCGCCCTGTCAAAAACCTTCATTCAGACCCATGATGACCTACCCAAATTGTCCCACCAAACGGTTTAACTGTCTGCATCAGTTAACCAAAATTCTCATACACGGCTTAGCCTGTATTATAGCTCGTTAAAAGTAGTCGAACTGGCATTGGTCTGTCTGTGTGTGTTGTGTTCCTCTCGTCCACAGTGAAGCCAGTATGTTCCAGTCCTACAGTCCCACAACCCGCTGGGACGACCTGGACAACCTGGAGACATGGCTGAGATTCATGACATCTCCATCCCTGCCCAAAGCCACCAGCGACTCAGAGCCCCGAGCCAAGAGCAGCTGACAAAGACTGGGCCAGACACGTCACAACCTCGCTCACCAGCTCAACGCACACGCACGCCTCCGCGAAAGGAGCCGCATCGCCCTGGAGCACAAGGTTGTAACGCCGAGGATGACAACTACCCCGAGCTACCGAAGGAAGTGGAAAGACTTCAAACTGCCCTGTCTAATTTTCTACATAGACTGAAGAAGAATAGTCAGAGAAAAGAACTAAAAAGAATTCAACGAGAAACTCCGACAAAGTGAAGTCTCTTGCAAAGAGCAGAGACTGAACTGAAAGAGACTCAAAAGCCACGGCCTGCGCAAGAGGCCCGTGCGACCACCCACAAGCTCGTTCAGCAGAGACAAGATCTCGAACACGAACTTGACCCACAGAGTTGCAACACTCTGATAGACTGCAGCATGACTGGAAAGGGAAGGACACACACCACAAGCTTCCCCTGACCAGTCTGCACATTTCAGCCAATGCACAAGAGCTGAAAAAGGGGGGTGGAAAAGCCCGCCTTCCACAACATCTCTGACAATCTACAAGATAGTGACCTTCCACCTGCTGTCTCCAACCGGTGAACACGACACCGACACCCAGCAAGACAGACCCCGGAGGGCCTGTACCATCACCACCGGCTCCGAACGAGTTTTCTGTGGAACTTACAACGAACCTGTAACTGAGGAGGACGCCAGTTTCAAGAAACTTTCCCTCCAAAACCCGTCAGTCACCATAGTTCTCTCGGCCCCACACCATGCCCACTCAACGAGGCGTGAAGGCCCCCAGTAAAAATTCCTCAAACCCCAAATTATTCTGAACTGCAGAACCAGAAGACACACAGCACGAACACCGTGCAAGACTCTGCGTTTGTAGAATTAGAATTTTACTAAGTTAAAGGAATCTGAGATAGGCATGTAAGCCTCAACGGCCGACGGACTATGCACGACTCTTTTGAAACAGACAGTTTCTAGATGTTGTTTAAATCAGCACCGTTAAACATTAGGTTTCGTGACAGTGAAGAGTTACAGAAAACACCAACTCCGAACAGGGCATACAGTACGTTACCCTGACGACAGAGTGTAGTAAAATCACCCGAGTTTTAACTATTGTTAACCTACAGGCGTGCACTCGATCATCGCGACCCAACTAAAACGCAACGTGCAACACGCATTTTGATCGCTGGCTTATCTAAATGCAGATAAAACAAATAGCTGAATTGACATCTCTACTTTAAAAAAAAAAACAGCCTTAGAGTCCCAACTGATATCAAGAACTTCAGCATTAAAGCGTAAGTCTGTGTAACAAAGGTATCACCTCAGCAGCTTGTAATCTGTACCGATATCTATTCTGCTTTGGTTAAAAAGAAATCCAAATCGCGGTATGACTAAACCTGTTCCTGACGAAGGAAGCCCAGGACAGAGTTATATGTAGGTAGACCTGGGAGACGCTCCCCCTTTCTACAAAGTAAAGGCCTTAATGTTATTGTTAGATTGATGTAATTCACCTAAATTTTAGCTGCATCGACAAGCAGAAAGCCACTAAACGATCAAAACAAGTTACTCGCGGAAGAGCTAACACTCATGCATGAGAGAGACGTACCTATATATGCTTAGACGAGCTTTGACTCAGCAGCAAACCTATTTCCTTACTCTGTAAACAAATAGAACAAGACAAGCTTTGACTTGCAGCAAATCTATTTCCTTACTTTGTAAACAAATAGAAGACGTGTAAAGTAAAGAACAGAGTTCCATGAGAAAATCAGCAAATGCCAAAACACATTTGCGTTTTACTGAATGCAACCAAAGTTCTTGAAAATCATAAAGTATAGGCGCCTCCTTTTAACCCATTAAAACGTGCATGATTCATGTAAAATATACAGACATTCTTCAGATACTGTTGAATTGCTCTGACACGCTCTGGTTCCCATGACAACAACTTGTCACAGGAAGTGTTACCTTGTAATGTCACTTTTGTAAACAAACCAGCCTGGGTGGCTAAGCTAACCTAGCCTAGCGACACGCTCTGGTTCCCATGACAACAACTTGTCACAGGAAGTGTTACCTTGTAATGTCACTTTTGTAAACAAACCAGCCTGGGTGGCTAGCCTAGCATCAAGCTAACTTAGGCTAAGCTAAACTAACCCAGCACTAAGCTAACTTAGGCTAAGCTAACCTAGCTTAGCATCAAGCTAACTTAGGCTAAGCTGAATAACCTCCACAGTTAACAGTTAGCATCATTTACGTGAACCCTTACTCACCGCTCGTGTTCCACAGTGCAAAGTATTCTAGAATACTTTCTCAACACCAGTTAGGGTTTTAAATTACTCACTTTCCATGTTTACCATTCTTATTAGCTAAAGTTTACCTTCACAGGGTTAGGAATACTCCTTGCTAACCGTTAAGGGCGAACTTCGCAGATGCCTTGTTAATTAAACTTAAGTTTAACTACATGAAAACTGCGTGACTAACTACAGAATAACGCGTGTAACCGTAGGAATTTTCATCGGCATGTTGACTAAAGCTTTGGAGGGACACACAATGTGGTTTTGAACACCCAACCGCTACAACCCACTATAGTGTTGATCAAAGCAAATCCAAAGTTTAGTCACTAATGCCACTGAACACTCTTGACCTCAGATCATTCCCGTGTTTTGATCACTTTATTTCCTTTTGCTTTAATTTTAATTTTATTTTGCCTCATTGATTATTTCATTCCTTCGACCTTGATGATAATAGCAAGCAGCTATTCCCTTAGGTCATCTATATGATTTAATTTCATTTCCTCTCTTGTCCAAGTGTGGTTCTATTCCCAATAGGGCCCAGAAAGGAAACAGAGACCCCCTTATTTGTTATTTTGGCTTAGTTTCAACCAATGCACTCGTTTGTGACCCTGCAACGCAAGTAATTTCAACAATTTACTAGGGCACTACTAGAGTCCTGAGGGTCGATAATAAGCAGAATTTAAATAAGAAAGCGGTCCTTTTCCTATTATTGTTCACTTCGTCGAGCCATAGTGGACCACCAGCTAAGTCCAGAGAAATAATTTAGTCATAAGGACCACCTTATGTTATTTATTTCATCTCGGATATGTCCTTTCCAGGAAATACGCTCGGAACCACACAAGACTTAGCCCTAACATGCACAGCTAAGATAAGGACACAAGAGACACTTAGCTTTATGCTAAACACTTAACTAACTTATTAAGCAGTAGTTCTGAACTTTTAGGGCCATGCATTAGTCACTCACAACAAGTGTGCCAGAATGCCACAGAGCCCCTGCTTAAACCGACCTCAACCTGCCAAGGAACCACTGCCCCAAACCACGGCATGGCTCCAAAAAGGATGCAACAAAGCTAACCAGAAAGGTCCCAAGATTCACTCAGGACCCTGCATCTACCCACGACATGCAGACAAGACTTTCACTTGCAAACTGTCTAACCAACATGACTGCATGAAACAGATTCTGCTTGATATGGATTACGTCCAGTCGCGAGGTGCACAGCTTCCTAGATCGTCAAACAGAGACTGTCAAAATGGACTACCAGCTGTTGCAATAAGCTTTGATCGCTTAACTCCCTGATCCAGAATCAGACCAAGGGTTATCACCACCGTGGACATCAAGTAAGACCGACTTGAAACTCCACCGACTTCGGCAAGCCTACTTCGAGAAGCAAACCATCAGGTATGAAAAGGATACCAGTTTCAGAACTTTGTTCCCTTAAAACCTGCATCCCACAGTGAGTTAGTCGATAAGCACCCTGGCCTGTGCTTGTAGCCTGTCTACCTCAGCTACGAGACTGGGCCCGCAAAGCTCACATTAAGCAAAGGCTTTGTCCGAAAAGACTGTGTAAAAACCCTCAGACTAACCTGTCTCTGAGCACGACTCAGAGCTGCCCCTAGAAGGCACCCCATACATCACAAACACCTTCACTGAGAGTTAAACCGTTCCAGGCCAGCAGAGGGCAACACAACAGTCATGGTGCTCATCTAACGCCCCAGAGCAAGAGCTCTGAAACATTTCTGGAAGCCAGCCGGCGACCCAGAATGGACCGCCCAGCACCAAGAGACTCAAGCCCAACCAGCCCAGAGCGGTACCCTCTCAACACGCCACTGGTAAGCACAAGTCTGAGCACACATCAGATAACAACAGTGCAGCCACGTCACAGACGGCAGAAATCCTGAAGGTGCTGAAAGCGTTTCTGCACGAGACATCACAAGGAGACAAGTCAGACATCCTATGTCTCAGCGCAAGACCCAAGCCAGACACCCAGAACACTGCTCGTCAGCATCAGACCACAGAGCTCACGGTCGCATCACAAAGCGACAACACCAAGCAGCCACCACAACTGACAGCTGCACAACCTGAGCATGACAGTCCGGTGTCCCACACAAGACCGGTCCTAACCGCTCATCGATCGCAACACCAGCCCAGATGCCTAAACTTCTGGGAACCCTAAACAAAAGGGGGGGTGACACAAAAGACTCTACATAGCCACCACGAGAGACAATCATTTGAGCCTTGAAGGCCTGTCAGACACTAGCTCAAACATCACGCTAATGTCAGCCCAACTCTTCAAAAGACTCACTGCTAAAGCTAAGAGTCAAGAACGCACTCTCAAAGCCCAAACATGTGAGCTGAATGAAAACCCTACAGCCAAAACAACTTCTGGCTCAAAACAGGTTGCTCCCATTCATCCATTTGGTCCTATGAGCCTGATTCACCCAGGGTACCGATCACGAACGATCACGTACCCACTTCTGATTGCCCAAGATCTGTTAGATCGCTTTGAGCCTTTAATAGACTTTAAACAACTGAATGCCTGAGCTCAAGTTCAAGAACCCCTCCCCCTCCAGTCATACAGGTCAAGAGAACCTAACTGGCAGGTCACAGAGGTCACAAGAACTCCCGCAGCCAGCCATGAAGGCACAGCCTCAGCACCAAATGGAGAGGTGAACTTGCTACTCTGCACCTTTCAGCTCACTAAAGACTTTGACTAACCAAATGAACTCTGAAACTACCACCTCTTTACCCCTCCAACCTCCCAAGCCTGCCGTCGGACACATCAGGCAGCACACCAAGAACATGCTGCTCAACGGCCCTACAACTCAGTTTCATGCACCTCGTGACATCACTTCGCCACGGCTTGTGCTGCCACGGTGCAGAAAGGGGGATATGCCAGTGTATGCCCAGTCACGCACCATGTGGGCTGCACACCGCAGCACCAGGACATCTCGGCATCCTCAAAGGCATCAGACTGTCCCAGCCGACAGCCGCTGAATTCTTTCCTCCCTTTCTCTCTCTCTCCCCTGTCTCTGTTACAGGATGCTGCTGTGGTCGTCTTCCTGTGCCTCCAGCCAACCAGAGGACAGCTACTGTCGACCGCCTCACCGCCGGGTCCGACATCAGGCAGCATATGGTCGACTGCCACGCAAGCAGAGCTAAATGGACTCCCACGCCGCTGCTGTCAGTACGCAGTCAAACACCGGCCTGTCCAGCAACCAAACGAACTGAAATTCCACAGCCAAAAGGTAACTCACAACACAGAGTGCCTCCTCACAGACCATCAAGAAATTGAAAGGAACTGTGATAAATCCGCAACGCACACAGCATTCTACTGAACCAGACAAGTGAGCTCCAGCGAGACAACTGTTCACTGTCTGCCAGAATGACTTTGCTAAAATTCACCAAGCAGCCTTTGCTCCAAGACCCGAGCTACCCTGCTGCAACCGAGCCTGAGTCAAGTCCCAGCCAGGACGAAACCCACGATTTCACCCTGATTCCAGAACTGGAATTATGAACGATGATAGAAGGGGTCCAGCCAAACTGGACTTGTTCCCAGTGACCGCTGTGTCTCAACTGCACACCTGTTGCACTGCACAACTGCCTCACCGGTAGTCCAATCCTGGACTGCAGCTGATTCTGCACTGGGTACCTCTACGGTAATCAACCACACCCTGACACTTGACATCCACGCTGCACAAGAGGCAAGGAAATGCAAACCTCCACAGCCACCACGGGACCCTCAGGAAGAGGGTACCACGCTGGAGACTGCGTCAAACCTCAGCAAGCTGAGCCCCTACCTCAGCCTAGCCGCCGCCTGCCACCTGACCCTCATGATTCACCTGCCATCCGTCCATTGCGATGGTGTCGTTCGATGAAGTCACACAAGGACTTCACCTAACGAAAAGGGGGAGATGTAATGAATCTTGGCCAGGCGAGTTACATCAACACATACACACACACACACAAACCTTTCACTTCCCCCACACATCGGAATGTGTGGAATGTTTTTGAACAAAGAGAAGGACTTTTGGTGTTTAAAAACATTCAACAAAATGTTTTCAATGGTTTTTATGTATATGTGTCTTCCCCATGTCACAGTGAAATAACTTTGTTTGATCACAGTTTAAATAGGAATTAAAAATACCTTCGTCATGCATTTGAAACATAAGTGTATATTCCTTTGATATAACATAATGTTCCTTGATATCTCTAGAATGCTTATTGAATGAAACACTCGAATATGCATAGAGATGTAAAGTAAAGTGTATTTTTAATTCGTTGTACTGCCAATGAAGATCAAATTGCTATTGCAAAACCCTCATTTAACACACCCCCTTCCACGAGAAGCGCGCGCTGAGGAACAAAAGAAAGCTTCCCGCGTGCAACATCCACTCTCCGATTGGCTCAAGCCAACAGGAAGGGGATGGATTTCTCCAAGGTGATAAATGTGAGAACGCAGGTCCGCCCTCGCTCTTCTTCTGAACTTTCCAGCGCTCAACATGTAAACCTCACGGGACTCTGATCCAACCATGGGTCTTTCCTTTTGTTCGTCTAAAAGTTTCATCTTTTCCTCAAGTGGACTACCAAGTTCGTCTTCCAGGAAAGGAAGTGGACTTTGCCGAACTATCTCCTCGGGTAACGTCACCTCAAAGACTCTCAGCCTTTCAAACACTGGCGCTAAATGCCGACGAACGCCACGTGACTCCCCACGGAACAAAGCAGCCATGAACGAGCCGGGACGGGCCGCACCAACATGCCGCGGCCGCGCTTCACGTGACGCACGCGCGCCGGACCGGCGCACCTCTAGCCGACACGTGGCCCGAACGGGACGAGCAACGAGCCCACGACTCACACAGACCACATGTGCCTTGCAAGTATACCTTCTTTTAGAGCTTCTAAGAAGCATTAAGAAGATGTTTTTTTGGGGTGTCAAGAAAGGTTAACTGACTGTTTTGATGAACGTAACTCTCTCTCTCTCTTACAACTCACTCTCTCTCTCACTCTCTCTCTCAAACTCACTTAACTTGCGCGTATCCATTGTCTAAACGCTCTGCGTCGTCTTAGTTTGTGTTTTAATGTTTGTAAATACATGTATCATTGTAACGTAGTGAATGCTTAAGTAGTAACTTTATTAAATGCAAAATATGCTTACCTTGACTGATTGTCTTGCTCATAATACGGGTCAATGAAATGTCAATTTAAAGCTACACGCTTTACAGAACTATAAATACCTAAGAGGGTATTTGGTTATAGAGCAGGGAAGGCAGATTCTAGTGGCCACAGAATTTGTTTTCACAAGCTATATAACTTAATTGAGCTAATTGATTTTGCCTGTCTTGTAAAACGTGGTCCTTGCAATCAATAACAATTAATTTGTGGTTGATTGCGGGGATGCACATGTATGCATATGGGTAAAATTAATAAATTAACATGTAAGACCGGTCTGATCCAAATCTGTATGAATAATTATTAATTATCAATTATTAATTATGATATGCAAATTCCCCCCTGATCAGAACCGACCCAGAGTCTTTACAATATTTACAAAATATATATTATCTTACCCTCAGGGCCCAACGCCAATCCCCAGTTGCATTAGCTATAGTTGCTCCCATTATATATCCTAGACCACTAAATGAAAATTTAAAAGAATACATTCCGTCAGAAAGAGTAAGATTCAGCAAAAGTCTTGTAAACATGGAAACATTGTATTGTATATATGAAGAGTTCAGATGCAAAAGCCTCTAAATGCCATTTGAAATTTTCTTCTTTAATGACGATTTTTATCAAACTTGTATATTTAAGTTCAGTAATTTCACTTAAATAACAATTAATAGGTAATTATCATTGCCATTTAAGTTAAATTACTGAACTTAAATATACAAGTTTGATAAAAATCATCATTAAAGAAGAAAATTTCAAATGGCATTTAGAGGCTTTTGCATCTGAACTCTTCATATACACTCTAAAAAATGCTGGGTTGTTTTGACCCAATTTTGGGTAAAATATGAACAAACCCAGCCATTGGGTTACATTTTTAAATTACATTTTTAACCCAATGGCTGGGTTTGTCTATATTTTACCCAAAATTGGGTTAAAACAACCCAGCATTTTTTAGAGTGTAAGAATCCCAGTGTTGGGTAAAGAATTACAAGAAAGTGAGTGTTATAATCAGACTACTTTTACAAGTAATGCGTAATATCTTTTTTTATTTGTTATTAAAAAAACAACCAAGCAAGCCAGCCCAGGTGACAAAAAGTAACTCAAAAGTTATTTATCACATTACTTAAAAGTAATTAAGTACTGCAATCAGTTCGTTTTTAAGGGAGTAGCGTAATATTGTAACGCATTACTTTTAAAAGTAACTTTCCCCAATGCTGGCCATCTCTGCCATCTGATTTTATACAACAGATAGAAGAGGCTTGTTCTAAACAAACCACAACAGAATTATCTCTGTGCGCCCTTCGTAGTTCACATTTGTCTGCAACTGCAACATATGTCAATGAGGATGTCTTATTTCAGAAAAGTAACCATTATAAAATTGACTGTTATTCTTTGTGAGGCGTAAATTACTGTAAGTTCTTTATTAATTTGCAGTGAAATGGTTATTGTTTTCTTAAATGAGCCTCGACAGTTTCTGAATTAATCAGAACTTCAAACAAATCAGTTGACTGATCTGAATGAGACAATTGTTTCGCTCCTGAATCAATCCATTTTTGAATTAATCATTTGAATAAACGAGTCGATGACACACTTGTAAAGACAGTCACTTGTCATCCCTACTGGCATAAAGATGGTTAGGGTGTGGGGTAGGGTTAGGGGTTAGAATTTGTTTTACCATTGTGTTGGCAAAAAGCTCTCTGATTTACATAACCAATGAAATCTTTCAGAGTTTGCTCTGACATGGGCTGCATCTTAAGCCTTTGTTGATCATAGGACCATTGCCAACTTTACAATGCTTTTGGGAAATGCAGCCCTGGTAATACAAATGGTTAAAAGTCTGTATTTATGAACGTTTAGATTGCCTCTCAGCCAATGAAATGCTAGGACCAAAACAACACTATTGTATAAATTGTGATACATGATCATTCTCAGAGTATATTTAACTTCTTTCTTAAATATAGTTTAGTAAGATCTTCACCTTCCGACCGGTATGCAGATATAGAAGAAGGAGATCATGAGAGTTCTTTTGTTGCCAGTGAACAAGTCACCAATGATAGTTGGAGCGATGGTGGAGTAACTGGCCTCTCCTGTCCCAACTAGGGCCCTCGTCAGGACCAGAATCCAGAAGTGCTGTAGTGAGAATCAAAAAAGATCTGTAACTGTAACTAACATTTCTATTCTCTTCCATTTGAACTGTTAAATATAGTTATATAAAGATAGTGTTCAAAAGTACCGGTACAAAATGAAACAATTACACATTACCAGGGTTGTAAGACTTCAAAAAGATTACACTGAAACCCGGAATTCCCCATAAAGACTTTGTACTGTACCGTATCTTTGACGAAAGAGCTGCCCAGTGATGTAACAATCCACACAATCAACCCAGCGATCATGAGAAGCTTCCTGTTGTAGCGATCTCCAAGGTAACCAAAAACTGGCGCCAACAACATAAAGCTACAGATAAAAACTATACATATGTTAGCATAGGGTTGATGGCAAAGATACACCCTACCATTGAAAGTTTGCAAGCTTTCACGGTGTGGCTGTAACAAATAAGCACAAGTCAAGACGCAGGAGAATAGGGTACACAGGAGAATACGGGCTAAAAGCAATCTAGTCAAGTCACCTTATAGTGATTTTTACAGTACAAATTGTTTTAAAGCAGCTTAACAGTGTTATGAAAATAATGCAATAATTGTTTTGGCTGTACAGCTGTTTTAGAAGAAAGTCATTGTAAGTTTTTAATCAATTAATTTCCATTGTAAAAATCATTAGTTATTAACATACACACAACACCGTTTTGAACTGAAAACGACACTTGGTTACTAACGTAACCTCAGTTCTCTCTAGAAGCGGGAACAAGTGTTGCGTAAGCTAGCTTATGCTATGGGAAAATCCCTTTTCTCCAGAATACTGAAGCCAAAAATTATCCTTTAATTTTGTATATATTTTATATAACACCTTGCTGCATAGAGTAGAGCTAGGTGAGGCAACTTGTACGCCTATTGGCTGCAACCTATCAGTGGACTGGTCATGACGTAAACACCAATGAGGGCGCGGGGGCGCCCTTGCACTTCATGTCCTGCCAAAAAAGGCGTGGCTTATCCCTATATACGCCCTATATAATCCCTATATATGAGTCCAGATAGGGTGTTCCTTGGTTTTTAATACTGATGCAAACCAGAACGCAGCGCATGGCAGGGTTACGCAAACCAGGTTAGGTTCTCATACGAGATACTCTCGTGTTGCGTAAGCTGGCTTACGCCACGGGAACCCAATTTAAAGTGCCGTGCATGCTGAGATCATCCACACATAGCCCAGCCTACTGCTCTACAAATATCTTGGAGTGAAACACCACTAGTTCAGGCCCAGGATGAGGCCATGCTTCTAGTGGTATGGACTCTAATACCTTTAGTATTTACACTTAGGCCTTTAGCCCTTTAGACTTAGTCAAAGCAATAGTTTCAACTATCCATCTGGAAATGCTCTGTAAGGTAGCCCTTAGTGCGGCCACCAAACGAAACAAAAAGCTGTTTTGACTGCCTGAAAGCAGCAGACCGCTGAACATAAATCCTTAGCGCCCTGACGGGGCAAAGGAGATTTACGTTGTTCTCGTCATAAGTTCCCGGAAGGGCTGACAGAGAAATGACTTGTGCTCTGAAAGGAGCGGAGAGCACTTTGGGGACATAGGCATAACTTTAGAGTCATTAGGCCCAAATTCCATGCATGACACGCTCACAGAGAGCACGTGTAAATTACCCACTCGCTCGACTGAAGCGGTAGCCATGAGAAAATTGGTTTTGAACGAGAGACACCGTAAGTCCACTGACTGCAGTGGCCCGAAAGGGTCACTCTTCGTTGCCTCTAGTACCGTGGAGAGAGGAGATCCTTTCTCAATGGAATCGGCCACAGAGCAGTGCTCGTGAGCTGCATCAGTTCCGGAAACCAAGCATGGTTCCTCCAGAACGGCACCACGAGGAGCAAGGAGGACCCTGATCTGTAACATGGTATCAATGTATGGATTATGCAAATCCATGAAGCAAAGTATATTATTTTAATGAATGTCAGTATGCAGAGTAATACCTAACAGTTTGGAGATTAGAGCAGACAGAGACTGAGTAAGCATGAAACTGTAAACCAGATCAGTGTTGGATTAGATCATGAGCCTTTTTGCTACTTTCAAGCAATGCAAACTCAAGCAATCATTTACATGTACAAATTTGAACATATCTACTTGTGTTTTACTTAATACCAGGCTTGTTACTAACTTACAAAATGACAGTAAAATACCTATTAGTTCATCTCCAACAAGGACATACTGTTGTAAAATCAAGTTCTGCAATGTTGTCATCCTTCTTACTGTTTTGTCAGTGCAATGTGCTACAAATTAAAACTGATACCTGTCTGTAGGAGACCTGATGTGCTGTCATCGATTTTGAAGTATTTCTGGATGCTAAGCAGCACACCTGGAACAGAATCAGAACAACATCTGTCACTATTTCAAGTGACAATCTGTGAACCATCACACTTGCTATGGCTATAGTGTGCTCACCTGCTATAGTATAACGGTCCATATAGTTGAGGAGATTGATGTAGCAGAGCACTGCCACTGAGATGTAGGAGCATCGCTGAGAAATGGAGGCTGTTTGAACGGAGGGTGTGTCACTATCTGGTTGTTCAGAGCTCATGGAGCCATAACGTACAGTTGTGTTTGAGCGGAGGCTCAAGCTGGGTTTTGGTCTGTGTTGGTTGGAGGCCATAGTACTCTCTGACTCTATCGTTACCTAAAGACTTTTTTGCCCCTGTAAGAAGAAAAATGACTTTTAAGAACTTCATAGATGGTAACAATGCAAAAATAGTGTGGTTTTCAAGCCCTCTAATGAATGATTTGTGAACTGTGGTATAGAGCTCACATGGCTTCCATGTGATTCCAGGACACTGGACAATGTTTTAAGAGTAACCATGGCAGCAAGGAAAAGTTGCAATCAATGAACAAGGCTGGTGAGTGGTGACAAATGCCTCATATAGAAATAAACACCCAACAGTGTTTTATCAAATAATTTGGTTTAGTTTTGCACGATTAGGAACACTTAACTTGCACTTAAAAAAATGACTAACTTAATAAAATTATGGACAGTGGTTCCACACAAGCAAATTATTTTGAATCTATGTAAGCTTCTTGTGTTGTGACAACACAACTGAATGAGAAATATTCTATGTGAAATAGTAATGAAGAATCTATGTGAAATAATTGTCCAAACAAATCAATGGAATTGCTTCCCTGTAACTTAAATCGGTTAAGTTTAGTGAATATACTTTAGTTTATTTTAAAACTGCACTGAAAATGAAAGTATGTAGGATTTACAAGATACCTTAAACAAATTTCGAGACTATCGCTATAGCTATTATTTAAAGGTAATACAGTACTTAAAGGTAATATATGGTCTTTCAGAATAAAGACATATACATTTTTGAATCAGTCCACATCCTAACCAAATGCTCCACTCTTCTCCACAATGGTATTGTACCCAACGTAATTTAAATGGTTCTAATAATTGCAACATTAAATACAATTACACTCTATAAAATCTTCCCCTTTACTCATTTTCTAAAAAACTCATAAAATAACACTTAATTTCAATTTCATTTATTCTCTCTTAATTCAGCTAAATGCAAATCATGCTGGGAACTAACAAGCACTGCCCAGTTTCAATGCAACACAAATGGATTAAGTAAACTTTAATTTGACATATTTAAGCAGATTGAACACAATCAAATTAAGTTTGGACAAAATGTATATCAATTATGTTGCTTAAGCTCATTTGAAGCAATTTGAACAAGCAGCCAAAATGTTTTTTTTCTCTCATAAATTTAAAGCATTTCAGAAAATTCTTTCCGAAATACTAACAGAAATGAAAGACTTTGCTTTTAGATTAACTTTATATTTTCTCTGAGGCCATGCACCTTGCCACCTTCTTCACACACCATCTTCATCCAATACGTGGAAAATAGTCGCACCCGGGGTTTTTTGAATCGCGAAATTAAACCATTTACATTAGTTTAACGATTGACAATTAAGTATAGTTGAAAATTATTTACAGTAGGTTAAGTTAATTAAACAAAATACAATAGTGTTTTGGTGGTAAAAGAAATATATGTGTGTTACTTTAACAAAAAAATATTTGTGTAAAAAGAACTCATTTTTTTCTTGAAAGCTAATTAATTGTCAAAGGCTTTGCATGTATTACATTTATGAGGATGTTTACTGGTGTTTAGTGTTGCAACCTAGCATACAGCCATTGTGTGGTCAGTCAAATTGCAGAACTTTCTAAAGACAAATAAGCACAGTGACATAATTTTAGGCAGGAGTTCGATAATAAATAGGCCCAGAACTCTCAAACTTTCCTAGTGTATTCTCTCATTTCTGTAGAGAGTAGAATACTTGTCATTTCATTCATCTCACAAACAAATTTGTCCTTTTAATAATACTAATTTTGCAAAGCATCTGACTTGTATGTACAGACATTGTGTGAAAATGCAATATGAAGACCGGAACTTGCTATCTCAAAGTTGGTGGTTGTGATCTTAGTTGCACCCGCAGCAAGCTGTTATTTTAGTCCTAATTGCAGCAGTCCTAATTTTGGCCTCACATTTGCCACAGGAAGGGCATCCTCTACCTAGTAAATATAATATATGGCCACTATAATATTTTACTAAAGTTATACATGTTTCAGTGTGCTTGAGGGAAGATCTGTCAGATTTAACCTCTCTTATAGCGATAGTCCGAACAGATGATAGGCTACTTCCAATTGGGTCTCATCAGTTCAGGTCAGCACTCAGTTCCATAGCGGACTGCCATCAATGCCACTGTTGTGATGATTAGCTGTGTATGACCACCACAGGACAATGCCATGTGATTGTTCAGCCTACAACCAGTCTTTAGACATTGAGGCTGCTAAATTCCCATTTGTTATTTATTCATTTTTTCACAAAATGCATATTGAACAATTAGAAGATCATTTTACCTTGACAATTTCAACAATTTAAGCAACTTGCTAATTCAATAATTTCAGTTACTTACACTTCAGTCGATGTTCTCCAATGTCCAGTGCTGCTCTAATCCATTTTTTTTTTTTGCTGGCCTTTTTTCCTTTTCTCTTTCGTCGTTTGCTGTGTTCCTTGAGATGTCACTTGTAGAAACAGAAAGACATTCCTCTGCATGCAGCACACTACAGGGTTATCAAGTTAGAATCAAGCCCAAGGCCTACCCCTTTTTTTAGGTCACAGGCAGCAGAACAGTTCCTCCTTGTGTTGCGATATAGACCACAAACCAATAGATTTTCATGCATACTCCCTTCATGCTTTCTGCTTTACACTGATCTGTTTGCAGGGCTTTTGGCATTATGTTTCACATCAATGCTCTTGCTCTGAACTCTGAACACCAGGACAAAGGTCTGATAAAAGAGCTGGCAGAAAATAAACACCAGTGAGGGAATTCTTCAAATGGAAACCTTATCTTGTATTGTCTACTCAACTGAGTTTATGACCCTTATTTTCATAGTTAACATTTCATACTAATGCATGCATATTTCATTCTAGATATAATCATAATCATGTTTCCTGGAGATGGCTTGCCAGTAATAGCTTGCCTACCCCCCCCCCTCCACCCTTCCTTCAAAGCAGAATTGTGAAACTTCAGTATTTTCCTGTCCGATGGTGCACAAGTGTTCTTTTGAAATCCTCCCTGCCTATAACAACTTCTCCAAAATACAAAGCCTCTGTACATTCTACCATATTATGTAGCATGATGACATAGGCTACTGTACGTTTTCTGTAAGACCACATCATCACACGTACTTGTTTACAGTGAGCAGTGACCTCTCACCACATCTGTAGCCTATTGCTGATTTCAATGAAAGATAAACTGATGTCATGAAAAAGTAGGTTGTGGTATGCATTATAATTAGGCCTATGATTAATAATGCATTATAATAATATAGGTTACCATTATAAAAAGAAGGATGGGTTTTTGTTAAATCGCATACTAAATTATATGCTAATCAATAATTACGCAATAGATGAACTGGAATTTTGGATTACTCTTTACTGTCACCCAGTGGTTGAATGACACGGTAGGCCTAGTAGTATACTGTCCATGAAACCAAAAACTTTTCATCTAATCTGGCTTACAAAAACTAAGAAAACACAGCCTAATTAATCACTAAACATACTAAGTAGAGCATTAAGCTATAAAAGGGAGAAAACATGTTACTTAGTGGTTCTTATCCTATTAACTTGGAAACATGCAGAATGTCCTAACATCTGCCTATAGTGACGAGTTTGGCACCACTCACATTTTCTTCACAAAAATGTACATCTAGTTATTATTTTATCGTCTTCTGTGTGAATTTTAGAATCACGTTTTCAATAGACTCACACAATAACACCATTGGAGCGCTAACACAAAACCGTGCCCTCAAAGCCATCACTGTTACTGGGGCATGCGCGAATCCTTCTCTCCTCGCGGCCTCATAGACAGTAGAGCGCATGCGCACACCGGATCAGAATGTTGAGCAAAACGGACTAGAGAACAGACGGAAAGACCTGCAAGCAATTCAAACATATTTCTCATTAGCGAAGTGAACGACTGTCGACATAGAATATAACTTATAAAAACATGACGAGCCCCAATCAGCACTGTTACTCAGGAGACAGCTAGCAGGTAATTTTTCAAGGCTGGTGTTGGCAAAGCCTGGCTAACAAACCGGTGAACATTTAGCCTGTCAATGCAGTTAAGACGGAGGTGTTAGCCATTAGCCGCTAGTTTTAGCTGCTAACGAGCGCTGCATTTATTGTAAAGCATTTGTTAGCAAGTTAGCAGCTAAATTAGCCGGCTAAAGGCTATCTCCGCCGTCTTTTGTTATTATTAAATGCTGTGTTTTGCTACTACTCATGATGGAATATTCATCCGAGACCCGTTGACATTTAATTAAAGTAATAATTCGCGTACATTTGTTTGGTTTTATTCAGTTTGCTTTTGGAAATGTATGTCAGGCGGGTTTGTCTGTAATCACTCCGGCGGGGCCGCTCGCTGTCGGCCAGTCCGTGTTTTGACATCTGTGTCCGGACTCCGGACGCAGTTTACATAGGAGCACCAGCCGTCGGTTATAGTCTCAGGGAAACTCTGTCATTGGTCCCATTTCCGTTTACCATCTTATCTTGATCCGTCAAACCAGTATTGTAACACAAGGCGCAAAAAGTGAGATGTATAAGCCGTGCATTGTGTACCATGTCTCCGCAGCGGGGCGATCAAATCCCTTTGTTTTTCTAGCTGGCTAACAGGCTAAGCTAACAAATTGATGGTTGCTGTTTGAACACTAAGCTCACTGGTACAGAGTGAACTACAGT